GGGGGGGGGGGGGGGGGGCGCACCCCCTGCACCCTCCCCCTAGATCCGCCCTGTCTATTCCCTAGTATTCACTAGGCGGAAGGAAAAGGGACCTCTGCCATGTCTCTTTTCCTCCCACTAAATACTAGGGAAAAGAGACTTATGCCAGTAGAGAATCCTGTGAGATAAAAAACGTCGGTCGCCGTTAATATTGCCGCAAGTTCTTCATTGTACTATATAAAACTCCGGGAGGGCACTTGGGTATTTTTGGGTGGGTATGTGCCGCCCGGGACTCCATATTGGCACCCCATTCTAAAAAAAAAGTTCCCGTAAAATCGATACCCCGTTTTAGAAATGGGCCAACTTTTTATACACCGTTCTAGAAAGCCCTAAACGCTAAAACACAGGGTGCAACAAGAGTGCAACAGTTTGCTTGTTAACGCATTAAACCGTATTTTTAAAAGCAATCTGTCTTTGAACAATTTCGAATGGCTGCTTACAAAACTGGAGCTTCTGTGCGTTTGAAATATATACCCCGTTCTAGAAAACGCCTCTGAAATGGATACCCCGTTCTAAATCAGGAGCTTTAAAATCACGACCCCGTTGGGCGGCACAAACCCGTATAGGTAATGTATGGGAGTACCCCCCGGGATAAAACTAGTACTATATGTTTTTTATTTCATTGTTAGAAATACGTGAATGGCAGAACCTTGTGAAGGACAGGCTAACGGGTCAGAAGCCGAGGAAGAGAGGGAAAGAAGCCAACAGGGAAAAGAAAAGATATGAAAAAAAAAACATAAACAAACAAAACAGCACACGCAAAAAAAAAAGAACGAAAAATATAAAGAAAAAGAGAAATGAGCTATTTCAAGTGTCGAACCTCGCACATCCAGTTTGCTGCGACCATTCCTTACCATCTATAATACGCGAGGAAATCCTAAGTGTTACAATAAAGATCTTTGTAAGCGAAAAATTGCTCCAAGCAGTAATTAATAGACACCGTAAAGATAGTCGTCATCCTCCGAGCCCTTAAGAGTTAGATAAAGTTAGTGGGGGCAACTCTAAAGGGTGCAAATTCTTTTCCGCCATTTTTTTTTGTGCCTCCCTTGGGATGGGTCTTCGGGGATCAATAGTTAGATTGAGTACACGGTACATGTGATTTTACTGAGACAAGATAGTAGTTCAATATATGTGGGTTGTGACTTATCTGCTTGGTTTTTAAACGGATAAGTTTGTAGGCCAGATTTGGGACTAAACGTTTTTGTACACGGATATCGAGGATATTAGTTATGAGGTCTCCTCTCTTATTGCAATAAACTTTATACCAAAAAATGTCTAGCAATCAGGAAGTGTTAAAACACTTGTAAGCAAATGTTATTAGGGAGCGTAAGCAACAACGACACTGCGACGGCTACGAAAAGGTCACTTAAAAAGTGAGTTAACGCTGCTTCAAACTTTATCGCGCTTATTCCATCCCGTTTGCTTAATTCGTCAAATATTGGCAAATGTTTTTGGAGTTGAATTCTAAAGGGCTGTATGAAAGTTCAGGAAAAGAAAAAGAAAGTTGTCGTCTTGTGTTCCTGTCCTCGACAAAACGTGAATTTAGTGCAACGACGGCAAAGAAATGTACAAAAAAAGCTTGATGCACGCGCAAAGTTGTTGTTTTGCCAATCTGAACCTATTGCTTTTTGCCGTTCTCATTGCCGTCACCGTCGTCGTTGCTTAAGCTCCATTAGGGACCTTACGATCCATCATCCAACATCCTTTCAAACCATTTCGCGATTATCCCAAGTCATCAGGTACTTAAAAGAAGGGAATTTATGTTGGAGCTGAAGAGAGGAGCCGCACCCAAGTTCAGACAGAGATGATACAATTTATTGCCTTGCCGTTCCCGTCCTCAAAAAAGCTTACAATTTGGTCATTTCACGTCATAGTCGTGCAGGGACGGCAAAGAAATGTACAAAAAAGCGTGATCACGTGCAGAGTTGTTGTTTTTCTAACCTATTGCTTTTTGGCGTTTCCGTTGCCGTCGCCGTTGTAGTAGGGACCTTAAGCAAGGACGACGACGACGGCAGTGAAAACGTCGGTAAAAAAATGAATTTGCGTTCTTTCAAACTTAATCGCGTCTATTTGGACCCGTTCAATATGTCAAATACAGGCGACTTTCCCTGGAGTTAATTTCTTAAGAATCTTATTTAGGTTAAAAAAGATGAAGGAAAATTCGTCGTCGTATGTCCACGACCTCCACAAATCGTCAAATTAGGAGGTTTCACGTCGTAGTCGTGCATTGGACGTCAAAGAAATGTACTAAAAAGCGTGATGCACGTGCAGAGCTGTTGTTTTGATCATTAAACCTATTGTTTTTTTGAAGTCGTCGTTGTCGTCGTCGTCGTAGTTGCTTAAGCTCCCTGGTTTCTTAAGGTCCCTAACAGGGACTTTAAGATCCAACGACGCGACGGCGACAAGAACGTCGCTTAAAAAGTGAATTTGCTTTCTTTCAGTCTTTATAGCGATTTTTCCTACCCACTTACTTTGTCAATTGTAGGCGAACCCTTCTGAAGCTGAATTTCAAGGGACCATAGCCAAGCTCAAAAAGAGAAATAAAATTTCGTCGTTGCTTGTTTACGTCCTCCACAAAACCCGAAATTAGGCATTTTCACGTTGCAGTCGTGCAAAAACGGGAAAGAAATGTACAAAAAAGTGTGATGCACGTGCGAAATTGCGGTTTTGCTAATTAAACCTATTGTTTTTTTTTGACGTTCTCGTTGTCGTCCGCGTCGTTGGATCTTAAAGTCCCTAATATCTCCTCACCGACAGGCACCAATACTTATTCGTTACAGACTTTTTCAGACCAAGAAATGTTTAAGCCCTTTCTCCAAAGCCACATCTCAAAGTTCTCCAGCCTCCACACATCCTCTTTCTTCAAAGTCCACGATTCGGCTCCATTTGAACTAGTTGCGTCATGCTACGGGAACCGGAGAAAAGCGCCAGCCTCTGATCAGCCAATTCACCTCTCTACCTTACAACAAAACAAGACGCAGGGGGTATACAGGTGACGGTCATCTTGACCAATTTTACTTAGTTCCATTCTGATCTTTTCTTCACAATTTTCATCTTTTAGATAGGGGTTTTTCTATGTCTTTCCTAAATACAATTACCTTACGATTTTGTCAAGTTCACGAACAGAAAATTATCTAGAATATCCGCTCCATAGTTCGAGCTGCACACCCATTCCAGTCTCTTAGTCGTGAATGTAAATAGGAAAACCTTAATAACGGAGCTCTCGCGCGCGAAGCGCGCCAACGGAGCACCATGGGTAAGAAAATGAAGTAATCTACCCATCCGAGAAAATTTGGTAATCACGTGACCGTACACCGACCGACCGCCCGCCCGACCGACCGTCCGCACCACAGGCATACCAATGTAAAATAACTCGATCAACAGGTATGGCAACCCAAATGCAACTCGAAGTTATTTTGGCTGGAAATCGCATAGCCAACGGCGTCTTGTAAAGTAGAGACAACTAAAGAGTCAATAAAGACGAAAAAGGAAAGCGGAAATTGTTTCTGTATCCGTGTTGTCTAAAGTATTTAGTTTGCATTTATTCTCATGTCCACAAATTTGGAATATAGAGCAGGAGAAAGACCGAGAAAAAGAGAAAGTAGGCGGCAGGCCAGCGAAGCTCAAGGAGAAAAAGGGTGACAGAGCTGAAGGTCTTGAGGGAGAGATAAAAAACAAAGGAGACATTTTTACTGGAAGAACAACATGACAATTTTGTAGCGGCGGTGACATGCTAGCGGCCACTAATGCAAGGTGAAAATGAGCGGCAGTGAAAAAAAAGTGAACGAGAACACGTACGACATTTCCTCCATAAAACGTGTAACTAAGACCCTGTTTACATGGAATGGGGGACCCCGGCCTAGTGGGGTAAGTTTCTTTTGTTTTGTGTCCCCCAGAGCGTGAAAACAAAAGAAACCAACCCCACTAGACCGGGTCCCCCACTCCATGTAAACAGGCCCTAAGAAGTTTCTGGAAGTTTCACGTTGTAGTCGTGCAAAACTACGGCAAATGTACAAAAAATGTGTGCTGCACGTGCAAAGTTGCTTTTTTTGCTAATTAGACCTGTTGTTGTTTTTCACCATTCTCCAGCGTTGCCTTGGCCGCTTTACATTACACGATTTTATATTTTGTTTGAACAAACTATAAATATTATCGAGAGCTTCGCTTTTAGCCCTGGCTAAATCTATATATTATGGAGAAAGCATTGTTCGATTGTCCAAGCGTGTTGCAGTATGACGTCAAAGCGAAGTATTTTTTGATTTCTGGAAGTTCTCGGGCGTTCGCTTAACCAACCAAAAGCCACGCGCGTTTTGTCCGTTCGATAAACCAATCAAATCGCTCTATTTCCGTCCGTTTGTTGTTTCTGTTTTGTTCGCGCTTTTTCATTTCAAGGTCATACGAAAAACGCTCTATCTAATTTGACAAGTAAAAGAAAAGATCACAACAGTGGGCTCTTCAAGTTTATTTTACTCTGAAGCATACAATGATTTACTGTGTCTTTATAAGCCCATTCAAGCATTATTGATTACTTGGTTTATCCAAGGAACGAAGTAGGTTACGTTTGCGTACACCCCATACTGTTTAGGTTGACCACATTCTATTCTCCAGCTAACAACGCCGTGCAGAAATTTCGTCTTAAGGTAGAAATTTTTTTTCTTTTTATTAGCCTTTTTAGGGGGGTCGTGCCTGCAGACCAAGGGTCCCCCAGAGTCTCCTTGACACGTGTCGTATTTTCCCCCAATTTTCCCAGCACAGATCATCGAATCATCAATCTGGTGGCCCATCTGCTCATACAGGTCTGCACAATAGGCTTGTTCGGCGACGTTGACATGTACTTGCTGCAGGTTTTTGGGGGAGGTTCCTTTCTCGTCCACATCGCCAAATCCTGTGACAACACATGCTTGGTATGGACGCAGCCTTTTGGCTTCAGCACCCATCGGTAACGCCACGGTTTTAACATA